TGCTAAGCTCTTCATCGCCCTCAAAACACTGACATGGAAACACTCACTAGTGGAACACAGCTGTCACCGAGAATTGACGACTGCGGTATCAGGCACACAAATCCACATACCTACTCAGGGACACGGAGGCCAGTGAAATGTGTCTTTGGAGAAGGACAAGGTGGCAGTGTTAAATGTCCTTTTTTTGTTTGTTTTGTTTTTTAAAGGAACACCCCAGAAATTTGTTCTGGGCATGAAGAAACGTCACTGACTTGGCAAGAGCTACTTTTAAGGTGTGGGCCTTCCATCAAGGCCACTTTCGTGAGCAATATGGTGGTAGGTCTCTATTAACTAAACACAGATTAGTTTTTAATGCTGGTTTTAGTAACTGCTGACATTGACTGGCAACTGTGTTAGTCAGTTTTCATCTATGGTACTTAAGCCTTAAAAGCAGCCACGTTGAGAGCCAGAGAGACGGCTCCGTGCATGGGAGCCCTGGCTGTTCTTCCCGAGGACCCAGGTTTGGTTCCCAGCGCCTATCTGCGGGCTCGCGGCCATCTGTAACTCCAGTTCCAGGCCATCAGTTACGTGTTTATATCTCTCGGATGAGGAATTCAGGATACGGGAACGGTGGGTGACCCCGCCCCCCAGCATCCGTCTTCACACTTAGAATCTTAGAATTTCACGCTGGGTACGGCCTGGCGCTACAGCCCAGAGAGGGTTCACTTAGCCATCTTTGACTGGTTACGAAGACTGAACTCGGGTTTCAGAGTTGGATGGGTGATACAGAGAGACTTGGAGGGAAGTCCCGAGGTGCCGTGTGTCCATTTAGGTCTCAGCAGAGATCCAGCGAATGAGATTCCTGGAAAATGAGGTGCTCCTGCTAGCTCCTGGTTTCATTCATCGGTTCCTCCACCCCGAGACACTGACGCATGGTGGCTGTGGAGTGGAGAAGTTCCTTCTCACTATATTTGCGTTCTGTGTTTGCAGACTTGCTGAGTCACTTAAATACACTTGCAACCTGAGAATAGATCCTTGCTGCCGTTCCCCCCCCCCCGTGGTCATTTATAGATACGTGCGTTCGGAGTGTGTGAGGATTGGCTGAGGAAGCGCGTCCCAGGGAAAAGCCACTGCTTCTGGTGGGGGCCGTGGTTCTGTCTGCTGGTTCAGAACGTGGCTCTGACTAGCTGAGGATGCCCAGGCTCTGGAGGAAGAACGTGAATGACAGACCAGTCTCTGCTTTCAAAGACTGTGCCTATGGGGGACAGACCCAGCTCAGTGATTAAGGAACCCATGTGCCATCGGCCCCCATGTAACAATGTTCTCCCAGCAGGCCCTGAAGAGTCCCCTCTGTTGTGACACATGCCAGCAACTACCTTTTTCGAAGCACATGCCCACAGTTCTAATGTTTGAGAGACCGAGGCAGGAGGTCTCGAGCCGTGGCCAGTCTGAGCTACCTAGGGAATCCTCTTAATAAAGAAAACAGCAGCAAAATATCATTTTTTTCTGAAATCCATTCGCATTTGAAAACGTTGCTTTTGAGAACGCCATCCTGTTAAAGAGATGTAAGGTAGTGGCGTGGCGTGCTGACCTTAGGGCGACGCTGTTTGGGAACACTTGGTTATGTGAGCTGCCCAGACTCTGTTTCCTAATCGTTTGTTTGTTTCTGAGTGGCTGGAGCTGTTTTCAGGCAGGAAGAGTGCTGCAGCCTCATATTTGGGTGGTCAGAGTCGGGCCAGCTTGGAGATTAAGCGATGGTGCCTCACACGAGGACCAGAGTTCAGATTCCCAGCACCCAGAGGAATACCCGGCAGGCATGGCTGCCTACCCATTCTCCCAAACGCCAGCCGGGGAGATGAAGGGCGGCCTGGCTAGCCAACTGAATTGGCAAGCTCTGGGTTCAAGGGTGGGACTCCCGGCCTCCACGGGCACACACACGCACACACACATGCAGCTACCCTCTCATACCAATGTGCCTGCACACGTTTGCAGACACGTGTGCACAGTCGCACACCACAGACTTAGTTTTTTTTTTTCCTAAGTTAATATTGTCTTTTAAAGAAACTTAAGGAGTTAGCCTGATTTTCCGCAAGAGGCAGATTAGCTATGTTGTATTTCCTGGAGTCCTGACACCCAGTACTTTAGCATGGAACTCTCTGGAGACAAGGCCTCTGAAGAGAGATGGGTGAGTTCAGGAGGTGAGTCTTCTATCTAGTCTGAGAGTATTCTAAAGTTCACGATCCTTTTTGAGATAGATCCTGCCATCATCTCCGGCTGCCCTGGAGCTAACTATACAGACCAGGCTGGCCTTGAACTCACAGAGAGCCCCATCTGCCTCTGCCCCTGGAGTACAGGGATCAAAGGTGTGCCCCTCCTTCACACCTGCTCTAACTTCTCCCGGCTTCTCTTTTGTTTTAAGCGGGTCATTTATGACTGAAATTTCAGTCACCCTGAAAGAAGTCTTTACAGTTGTCTCCCCATCTCCAGAAAACAAAACCTCTCCCCGCCCCCCTCCCTTATTTGTTTCCCTTCTGCTCAAACAGCAAAAAGTGAGGCGGGTGCTTTCACACAGCTATTCGCAGCTTTTACCTCCCTGGTCCTTCAGAGTGTTAATCATAGTGCCCCCTGCCCTGACCTCAGCACCCACACAGGGAAGGGAAGGGAAACCAGCAGGAGAGCACCCTCGCTTGTTTGAAGCCAGCGTTGGGGGCCAGCCCAGCCGGGGCAGTCTACAGACAGGGGCCTGAGTGTGGGGGGGGGGCATCATCCCAGAGGTGGCAGAGGGTTGACGCGGGCTTCCAGAGTTAGTAGGGGACTGTGGGAGGCACAGGTCAGTGTGCAGCTTCAGGAGTGCTGCGAGCAGAGACCATGGTGCTGAGCACGTGCCTGCGCCTCGCCATCTCTGGAGTAAAGCCAGGGGCATGTCTGCTGCCCGCACCGGATGACAGGGGCATGCCCGAGCGGAGGGCGGCACTGGTGATCAGGCCACAGCTGTGAGGCCTGGGATGGGGTCTGGCTCCACCTCCTCAGAAGAAACCCCTTCTCCCCTGCTTCTCCCCTGCAGCCTGACTTGCCACCATCCTGTTAGCTTGTGGCGTCAGCTAGAGGACTTGATGAGGGGCCGCCCTCTTGTCCTCTTTGTGCAGGTGTCAAAGGGGCTGCTAAATAAAACCTACCATATGCTGAATGGACTTCCTTTAGATGGCTTACAGATTTGATTCTGTGTTTACGGTGAGCGTGTTGTCACATTCTTTTAAAATACAAGGATTTTTTTTTTTAAACCACAGCACATAGTTGCTGTCAGGCAGTTCAGAACGTTTGCCTCCTGGTTTTGGCTTGCTGGGCCATGCACACCCCATTCTGTTTGGGAAGAGCCCAGTGTCTTTGGACTGAAGTGTAAACCTGAAGGTGGTTCTCGCCCAACACACATTGCTGTTAGTCATCCGACGCAATTTTTGTTTTGTCTGGTTTTCAAAAGCAGCTGCTCCTCGGGGACAAAAGTCAGAGCCCGTGGAGTGGAAGATGCCACTCACTGTTTAGGGCAGGAGAGTGGGGTGGACCGAGCTCCCCACAAAAAGAGACGTGCTTAATGTCCTGAATGCAGACCCTGTGAGCGTCGCCCTGTTTGGAAAAGGACCTCCCTGGAAGTTGTGGTCTTCAGCTGGGATCATCCAAGAGCAGCAGCAGGCTGTGCCTCAGGGGAGCAGGCTGTGGCTGCAGAGAAAAGGTGAAAGTTTTGACCCACAACTGAATTCCCCCTCCGAGCCCCCATCACTGTGAGAAAATGACTCCCACTGTTTTCAGCTGGGCAGTGAACGGTAATCTGTTACAGCAACCCAGGGAAGGGAGAGTCATTGCTCAGTCTGAACCCCTGCTGTGCTGAGCCTGCAAACCTAGGCTAGACTCACACACACCTAGGTTCTACCAATGACTGCCCCATAGTATTCTTGGGCAGATCACTTTGTGATGGAAAACTTGTGTGAAGACTCTCATCAGGAAAGGGGATTAGAGTAACTGACCTATCTACCTTCAGGGATTTGTTATAATCCCATGAGATAACACACTAGTTCCTCCGTGAAGCTTTAGGGACAGCGATAAAATTCCCTCTGTCGAATCCAGAGCGGTGTTTGCTTAGCTGGTACCATTTTGGTCTGGCTCAGTTTGTTTGAGCAGCTGTAACAAAATAACCTTGGACTCACTGGCTGATGAACAGACTTGTCTTTCTTGTAGTCTGGTGCCAGGAAGTCCAAGGGCAAAGAACCGACTGAGTCCATGCCTTGTGACAACCTGCTTTGTTCAAAGATGCTGCCTTCTTGCTTTCTTAGAGGAAGGTGCCCGGCAGACCTGTGGAACCTCTTTCATAAGGGTGCAGTCTCATCCATGACAGCTGTGCCCTCATAACCGAATCACCCCTGAAGGCTCCCTCCTGACAGCACCGTAGGAAATTAGGTTTTAACGTATGCATTTTCAAGGACAGAACATTCAAATCGCAGCAGAGACTCAAACACAGTGACATCAGCAGAGAAGCAGTTGGGTGCAGCTGGAATTCTGCTCACCCGGCAGTCACACAGCCCCATGGTATTCCTGCCAAAGCAGACAAAAAATATGAATGCATGTCTCCACGTGGAACACAGGACAAAGTGTGTCAGCTGTGTGGACAGTTAGTTCACTGTGCATTTCAGTAATCTCAAGAGAAAGGGATTTCTACGCTAGCACGGTCCAGCAGAGATAAAATGGGAAACCAGAGCTGGGTGAGTGAGGTGTGCATATGTGTAATCCAGTCCAGCCCCCCCCCGCCCGGAGGCCAGAGGGTCAGCAATTCAAGGTCTGACTTGGCTGCCTAACGAGTTTCAAGGGCTGTGTGACCCTGCCTCCCAAAGGGCAAAGAGTCAGAAGATGACAGAGTGTTTGGAAAGTGTGTGAGGTTTTAATAATGAATTTGTCTTATACTTTTAATTTGTAACTAACATATAATTACTCAGTGAGACATTTTTACAGCCTACACTTGCGTTTTGTTACTTTTGAGGTCCGCTGTGGCTTGTGTATTGGAAGCCTATTGCTTCCGGGGTGCGGCCCGTTTGTTCAGGTGCTCGATACCTGCCTCTGCGGAAGGGCCTTGGTGGACCCAAACCCTGCAGTTGTCAGAATGAGGTTTTTGTTGTTTTGCATTTCCTGTTTGTTTTTTAAGTTCTTTCTTTCCAGAAAGTGTCACCGGGGCTTGGAGCACACATGATCAGTGGTGTGACGGATGCCTTTGTTTCTTCTCAGCTTTGCCTCGTGAGGAAACTGTAGCTACTAACATGGCGTTCTTTGAGAAAACCTTGCTGAGCCACACGGCGCGACAGATGCTCTGCTTGGGCAGATGTTGGAAAGACAGACAGCGCCTTGACCCGGGAAGAGTTAGACTGGCATCAAAGTGGAGAAGGAGCTCATTCATAGCAGGATCTGGGCAAAGAGGGAGGGGTGGACGGGATTTGGCGTTTGGCTTTCAATCTGAAGCCATGAGCGTTTGGGCTGTTTGTCCCGGGACTCGTGTCCAACCAAGGAAAAGCTAACAAAGGGCTGCTCGCAAACACAGAAAACTTTTCCTCGAAAGCCTCGTTACGGTTCTGATCCCGTCCTGGCTCTTGTAAGTCATATGGTGACCAGGCACCTGCAGAGAGGTGAGCGGGGACCGAGGCACGGTGAGCAGTGGAGCCGGCGTGCTTGAAGGCGCAAGGAGGATAAACCTTTCTAGAAATAGGTCAGTCTTTCCGAGTAGTGTTAGACCTGTGCATGACTTTTCTTAAAACCAGTTAAGCCTCGTTATAAAAGCCGACTGGGTTCTCCCACTTTGCTGCTAGGCCTTTGGCTTCTCTCTGGTTGGAAAACGAGACCGATGACAGTGCTTCCCGGAGACCCTGACGCCCCCTTTCTCCTTGTCATTCCAGGCTTCATAGACTCGGCCCTGCCCCGGCGCTTCACGGGTGGAATTCTGAGGTGTTTGCTCTTTGCCTCAGTCCTTTTCTCCTGCTCAAGTGCGTGTCCCTCACCAGTATCGCCCTGTCCAGCAGGTGCTGAATTGCGTATATACTCTTAACGTATCCTCCGACTCAATTATTGATGAGGACACAAATTTCCAGATTTGTGTTCTCTTGTAGTTGTTTCTTTTCTGTAATAGTTGTCTGTATGGCTTTTTGTAGACATAGGAAGCATTTCCGAGGGGTGGGATGCCTGGCTTGGAGGCTGGGCTTGTGATCATCTGCGGTGGATGGCTAACGTCTCTCAAACACTCCAGGGCCCTGCCACGCCGCTGATGCAACGCACTTTGACCCATCCCTGTGTGGGGGCGGCGCGTACTCTGACTTGCTGAGTTCCCCACATTTCGGGCCTGTCCCTGTCGAGTTGTCCAATGCCTGGCATGTCTTGCGGCTGCTGTGCATTGCTTCTGGGACCAGGCTGCTCGGGGTTCCTCACGTGCTTTGTTGTTGTCTAGAAGTTTCTCCTTGTGGCTCTGCTCAGCCCTGTCGTGAGCCAGTTCCCCTGTGAGGTGTTTCCTGGCCTTCACCTGCAGGCCCCGGCCCATTCCGTTGCCTTTGCCAGAGGCCATCCCTCCTCTTGCCCAACTCTCATTGGTTCTCTAGCCCCAGTTCAAAGGTCACCTCTTCCTGCATGCCACCTATGCCCTCCCTACGTGCTAGCTTTTCACACAGCTGTCTCTGACTCCTTCATCAGGTTTTGGACTCTTCTGTGAAGGCTGCAGGGGCTGTTCATCACTTCAATGTAGCTTAGCACCCACCCCACTGTCCTTCTAAGTCTCCTGGCTTCTAATAGTCTCTCACCCTGTTAACTGCTGCCTGAGAGAGAGAGCATCCCCTCTTCCCGTGGCTGCCCTGCCTCAGAGCCCGTGAAAGTAATGAGCAGTCAGCTGGCGCTTGAGGGGGGGAGACTCTCTGTGCAATGCCCACCGTGTGCTTTTGATAACTTGCATTGTTTGGAGGGAAAGGTCTACACCTCCTGGTTTCTGCCCACCCGCTTCCATATTTGTAGAACTACCAGCCGGACCAGGCAAGCCCGCTGGGGTTTAAGGTCTTGGACACTTACTAATCATTTGACCTTGGAGAACATTTTTATTCTGTGCTTAGTCAACTGACCCTTAGAATGAAGACACAGGAGTCACCAGGAGGGAGAGAGACAGACAGAGAGAGAGACAGAGAGAGAGAGAGAGAGAGAGAGAGAGAGAGAGAGAGAGAGAGACAGGAGGAGGAGGACAGAGAGGAATGGAGATGGGGGAGGGAGAGGGGGAGGGAAGGAGGCTGGCAGAGAGGAGGAGGAATGAATGCTTGTGAAGAGTGTGCTCTCCCCAGATAGAGCTGGGTACTTTGAAAGTGCTGTGGTGAACACTGAACAACTGTACTTTCCTGGCTAGCGCAGAGCATAGCATCCAAAGCTTTGTGTTCTGTGTCTTTCCAAAGGTCAGATGGAGGTAGTTTAACCTTAGAGTCTTCACTGTGTTGACCAAAAAGCAAGGATATTTGTAACAAAGCCCCCCCTGTGTGCTAACTCATACGGGTCACCTAAAAGGAGAGGCGACGTGTTGAGAACAGAGGCCGGACCGTGGCTGTCTTAGGGTGCCTGAGATGCTGGGCACACAGAAGCACTCAGATTATAGCCGATACGCCTTGGCTGATACACAGCTTTATCCTGAGCTGATGCTGCCATTACTTTCCTTCTTCCGACTGCTGAGCTCACACCAGCCAGCCACGTCTGTACGTCATCCATGACATTCCAAGATCACGCATGGGAGAAAGGGGCTGGTGAGAGTATGAGGCCACTGCTTCCCTTCCCCGGTGAATTGAAACTGCCGTGGCTCTGAGCATCCTCTGTAGTTCATCGTCTCGTGCTGTTGATCTCACTCACCCATTTCCGGTGGTGCCGGTGTAGACAGACCTGTTGTACTCACCGCCCTGGTGCAGAGGGACGGTGCGCACGTGTGCATGCAAAGCCATGCCACTTGGTGACCAGCAGACACAGACCCTCCGGCACCTCTGACTGGTCTGGATGCGTACGAGGGTGCAGGCACCCTGCTGTCTGTACCCGGGGAGAAGAGCCTCGTGCGGTGTTTCTCAGGGGAGACCCTTAGTGAGCCAAGCTACCATGACTTCGTTGTGCTTGTCCTTCTCTGACAGACCTTGACGTTTAAATATTCGGTTTTAGATTTTCTTCTTTTCTTTTCAGAATACTTCCAGGGCAACATGGAATGATTTCTAGGACGAAAATGGTTAGGAAGATAAATTTAATCTGTACTCAGTCACTGTACAGATAACTTTTCTAGAACATCCCGGGAGCCCAGAGGCAGTCCTTTAAGACGGAAACCTGGTTTGTGGGACTTTCCATTCATTTGTGTCTTGATTAGGCCAAGGTTTTGGGAACAGCTGGCAATCAGATGGTGGAGTCGGGTGGTGGTGCCTTGGGGTCACCGGGTTCCTGATTCATCCCCGTCTCGACCAGTTATAAGCTGTCCATTCATTGGTTAAAGTGCCAGTCAGCGGACCTGCATCCGAGGAGGAAGCTCTCCTCCTAACTCCGATGAGTGCACATGTTCAGCAAAATGACCCTGCCTGTCTGATCAGCCAGTAAACCGTGTTGCTAATCAGAACGGCGTTCCGTAAGTGAGCCAGAGACATATGAAAAGCTGGGGCCATTCTTGTGGGCTAGAAGAGCCCTAGTGAACAATTCAGGCAAGGCCTCACAAGTGCACCCACCTCGTGGCGCCGCGTCTCCACGCCCTGCCCGCACAGTGTTGAATGTGGGCGTCTCCCTTAAGTTTTTGTTCCAAATGAGAGACCTGAAAGCGTGTTGTATGTGTATGTTTACATATATGGTGTAAGGTTTTAACATGTTAGATCTCACGTGGCTGCTATAAGCACACAGTGCAGTAATTCTAGCATCCCAAGGAGATGTCTTTTTGTAGTGACACCTGTCCTTCTCCAGCCCATGGTCCCCTGGGTCCTCTCTGCTATCTTAGTTCTATCTTCGCTGCAGAGCCTGTAAGTGGAATCAGGATCCCATCACGCTCCCAGCCTGGCTGCTTGTATTTAGCGTGATGCCTAGAGCGCCACCCGTGGATCTGCACGTGTCAGCCTTTGTCTGGGACTGCTCGGTAGCATCTGGTACACCACCCTCTGCCTGTCAACAATGTTGCTTGCAGCACGGGACGATCCTGGTTGGAGCTGTGTTAGATATTCACATCCTAACTCTTAATGATCATCTGCTCTCCTTTCTTAGGAGTGGCATTGCTAGGTAGGTCATAGGCAATTGCTCCGGATTATCCGGAAGGGGCAGACTGCCCCAGTGGTGGTGGCGGTTTGCATTTCTGCTAATGAGGTCTGAGAGGTCCAGCAGCTCTGCATGCTTGTTAGATGTTCACCTGGGAAATCAGTTCTGAGAGGTGGAGTGGAGTTTCATAGTGGCTCTGGTTTTTCCGGTTTCCTGTGGGTTAATGACCCCTGTGCTCCCTCTGTGTCATTTTGGGGATGTGTCTCTTCAAGTCTCAATCACATATGGATTGTCCACGTTTGTCCTTGTGGGGGTCCCCCCTCAAGTTCCCTGTACATTCCGGGTTCAGATCCTTTGCTGTGTGTGTGTGTGTGGTTGGCAGGCAAGTTCATGGAATCTGTATGCTGTTACTTCATTCACATAGTTTCTTCTGCAAAGGGAATGCTCTCAGTTTCGACACTCTGTAATTTATACTCATCCTCCCTTTTTTTGTTTTGGTTGTGTTAGGCATGCCTTGTGTGGCTTATTCCACTTTTCCCTCACCTCTACACTACACCACACACACACAGACACAGACACACACACAGACACAGACACACACACACACTTCTCTGCAACCTTTAGAACTTAACTAAAACCTTTGTCCAGAGATAGTGACATAGTATTCTCAACCAGTCACAATGGCTGGCTCTGTACAAGCCATCTGACCATCACCGAGGGCCTGGAGAAGACCCAAGAGGACTTGGACCAGTCAGACTGCTTTAGAGAAAAAGTGTCTGCCTAGGACCCACTTTCAATCTGGCTTCCTCCCTCGCTTACAAAGCCAGGCCTTCCCTGTTTTCAGAGGCTCCCTTCGTTCTTTTTGTTTGTTTTGTTTTGTTTTGTTTTTACGAGACAGGGTTTCTCTGTATTGTTTTGGAGGCTGTTGGTCCAGCCCGGCCTCGAACTCACAGAGATCTGCCTGCCTCTGCCTCCCGAGTGCTGGGATTAAAGGCGTGCGCCACCACCGCCGGGCCGAGGCTCCCTTAGTTCTAACAGGTGTTGTGCTCTCTCCAAGGACTCTTACCTGTGATCACGTGATGTGGGTTGCCAAGGGATGGGATTCGCTGACCTAGTAGTCTCAGGATTTCCACACGCAATACTTTTTAAAGTATTGGGATCTGGGTTGCTGGGATGAAGTCATCCCGGTCAGAGCAGAAGTCTGCCTTCTCTTTTTCCCTTCCTCAATGTCTCCCTGACCACTCAACAGATAATAGGGCATGGCATGGCAGTGATGATGCCATAGAGAATTTTGACCCTGCTTTGGGAAAATTGTCATTGCAAGCTCAATTCTAGCCGACTCAGTCTCCTCCCTTTCTTCTTTTATTTTTCCTCCCGGGGGCTGAGGATCAAACCTAGGCCCCTTCCATGCTGTAACTATTAAAGAGGTTGGGAGAGGAATAATTAATTCTGCCTAGCTGTGAAGAATCCTTGACCTATGTGCTGCAACTTCTAATCTGTAAATGGAGGGTGAGATAATGGTCTGTGAAATGCCCACGTGGTTCGCGATGCGGGATTTCATTTTGAACGTGTCGAATAGATACGCCTCATGAAATGACCACCAGTTGAAATCAGGTGATGTGTTTGAGAGGGAAGGATGCAACCCTTCCTTGCACCAGGGGCTTGTCTGCCTTGCAGGACTAGGTGTCTGCACTAGCCTCAACTGCCTCAAGTGGGCACACGCTGGCGTGAGCAGCCAGAGGTGGTTTCCAGTCACGAGATCTGAACAGGCTCAGTGCAAGGTTTTATAGATAAT